GATGCCGCGTCCTCTCCTCTAACGATGACTGCCCCGTTCTTGAGGGTAGCCGGTCCCACGAATCTGGGGAGGGTACCCTCCTGGATCCCCTCCATCTCCGCCAGAACCGCCCCTCTGAACAAGGTCAGCTGCTCCGGAGTGATTCCCCTCTCAGGGTACCCCTCCAGAACAATCGCCCTTGCCAACGGGTCAGCCATCGCTGCGAAGGTCCCAGTTTCCTGAGCCCTAGGCTTCTTCACCGCTTTCTTAACCGAGGAGGGGGTTTGATCAGAGCCCGCGCGGCGCTTTTTACCGGTGAGCCCTGTTGCCCCCTCCACCAGCGTAGTAAGGGCCGTCGAGGGACCCGGAGCTTGCCCTTCAGGAACCTTCTCCTTGTCCTTCTCTTCTGGGCCCCGCTGCGGTTCCTCTTATGAGGTGCCCGCGCATCGCTCGCATCACTCCCGTTTCTTTCCGAGCCCGAGGGGGCCCGTTCCAAAACAGGAGCCGGTTCTACCTCTGCTGCGACCACCCTGCTTTTCGAGCCCTCGCAGGCCCGTACTTGCGGCGCGATCGCCGCAGTCACCACCGAGTGTCCTTTCAAGCCCTCGGTTACCTCTTATATGTTTAAATTTTGAAACTTATCCATGCAAGTCCCACGAGTAGCTAAGGAACGACTATGTCCACCCACGCAGAGCCCCGCATGCGTGGGTAAGGCTAGATACTCTGGGGTTTTACCCGATACCCCAGAGGCATCGATCACGACACTGCTCCCCCAGTGCCACGCAGCCTTCACCTTGACAGCTTCCAGCTTGGCTTGGGGGGCTGGTCCACGGCAACGGTCTTCCTGAACCCACGCAGGGCTTTACATCTGGAGGTCCGTTTATAACCGTCACTACCCGGAGGGACCTCCAGTCACACACGGGGTTTTACACCCGGGAGACCGGGCACCCCTCCGGGCGTCCTCCTATCCGCCACCTGGAGACGCGCCCGATAGGTAGCCCAACCCACGGGTTAATACATATATGAGGAGCAGAATTTTAAAATGTATTTTACCCAAAATTTATAATTTTTAGATAACGAAAAGGAACCCATGTGAACACTACACTGTTAAATATTAGGTGTTGAACTTAATTCCTGCCGCTCGCTTAATTTAAAACGCACACAATTTTCCACACCTTTAAAAAATCTAAAAAAAAATTTTTGTAATGTAATATGCTAAAAAGTTTGACACACTTTTTAGCATATTAAATTTAAAAAAATTTTTTTTAGATTTTTTAAAGGTGTGGAACATTGTGTGTTTTAAATGAAGCGAGCGGCAGGAATTAAGTTCAACACCTAATATTAAAGGGTCAAATTAACTCAATGTGAATCACCACTGCTCCTACTCAATAACATCGTTATTTTTCACTAAAACAATGGTTATATTTGACACTATACAGTATCAATTTAACATTATATAATGTCAAATTTAATTATCACTTTAGTAAAAAATAACGATATATTTAGTAGGAGCAGTGGTGACTCACAATGAGTTAATTTGATCCTCTAAAATTTAACAGTGTACGCGCCTTACAGGAAATGACAATTTGTCAATCAGTAAGCTGAGAAATGATAAATTTAAATAACCGTGGATCAATTAAAAATATGAACGTTTTTAACAAGGCTTCTTCCACGTGCGCTGGATAAAATTAGCGAACAGATTATTTATTATAATCTATATGTATTTCATAATAAAAAGACGTTTCGGTCTGTCATCAGACCATTTTCAATAATGCAAAAACAAAAAAATCATACAAATTAATGAAAACGCATTACATAATACAAAAATTCTTTGTCTAAAATGTCTGTGACGAAGCAAGGTTTTTCACAATTCCATATATCGACAAAATTTCTGAGAAATTCTACAGTATAGCTAATAAAATTAATCAGAGAGTAGCTTATAAACCTGTTAATAATTTAAATTCTGTAATAAAATTAGGTAAAGACAGATTAAAGATAATGGATAACATAGGTGTTGTATATAAAATAGATTGTCTTGAATGTGAAGCGTCTTATGTAGGACAGACGAAACGGAAAGTCGGTACCCGTATTAAAGAACACCAATATGACATTAAAAAAACATAAAGAAACGGGTTCAGTTCTTGCAGAACATCATATGAATAGTGGTCACAATTTTAATTGAGAAGATGTGAAAATTTTAGATAAAGAACCTTATCTTTTTTTTATTAAACGATTGACTTCAGAAATGTATATAAAAAAACAGACAAATGGCCTAAATAAGCAGATAGATACACAGAATTTTCCGGAATCATATTTATCCTTGCTAAATATAAAATAACAAAATCTTGTAATATTAGTCTTTGCGTCTGCGCAAGTAACTCATATAAATAAGACATAGCATAACGACTGTAACAGTCACATTTTTGTTTTCGTATAACGATCTTGTCTTTTCAAGTATAATGTTTGAAAATTCTTGTGAAAATTTGTTCACCTAGTGAAATCTGTTCGTGGTTTGAAGATTGAACGCAGGTAATTTCGAAGTTTTTTAATATCCACAAATTGATGCTTCTAATTTTAACGTATAATGACTTATTCTCATATTTAATTAGTATTGACTAATTTTTCTAAAGTTAATTATTGAAATGTTGAGAATTGAGTTTGACTGATAATAAGAATCTTTTTATAACATAGTTACCTTTTTTCCTGTTTTAATAGTATCTGGAGAAATGGTGCGTTCAGTCATTAAACTCATAAAGTTATTACGGATCGAAAAGACATATTACTGTTATTTACACAGAATATATGAGATAACTAACATCACCATTGACGCCATAATAATTTCGATCAAGTTGAGAAAGAAGATTATTAATGTTGGTACTCCAATCATGACCGCAACATTGTAAATTTAGATGTTACTATATTTTAGACAAAGAATTTGTGTATTATGTAATGCGTTTTCATTAATTTGTATGATTTTTTTGTTTTTGCATTATTGAAAATGGTCTGATGACAGACCGAAACGTCTTTTTATTATGAAATACATATAGATTATAATAAATAATCTGTTCGCTAATTTTATCCAGCGCACGTGGAAGAAGCCTTGTTAAAAACGTTCATAAGCTGAGAAATGTTAAACGAAATCGCTAAACAATTGTAAAAAACATTAGACGATGCATTTTAAGGAGGTTTTTATGTTTTAGAGGAAAAAAACATTGATTTTTTTCTGATTTTTTAAAGCTTTGTCTTAAAAATCTCATAAAAACTTATTATGGAAGAAACGAAAATTGTCCAAAAAATACGAGATAAAATGACGGGGTGTTTGGGGCCGCTTGATCGATTCAAATAGCGCGCATCAATCAATTGCTATAACCGGCGCTCGCCATTACTTATATTCAACCTTTCGAAACCATTCTAGAACGGTTCTATCCAACAGAGCAAAGTTTAGTTCCTTTCTGAGTGTCACTATCGTTCCTAACGGAGCAGTACTTGTATTAAAATGTTTCAGAACTTTATTCGCGTTTTTCTGTACCATGTTTCGAATATAGTGATCACGATTCCAAAAAGACTATTAATCCGATTGATTTTTACTTTTACGGTTATACTCATAGAACATGTCATTATCGCCTAAATTAGAATTAATAGTCTATGTTAATTTTTTCTATTTTTTTGATTGTCAAATAAAAAGAAAAAAAATATGAAAAAAATTCGAATTATTTTTTCAAATTGCGGAGACGTAGCGTCAATTCAATCGTATTACAACTACCTGTCGACATGCGGCGCAGCTCTCTCTTACAACCAGAGATGGAAGTTACTTTTACTGTCAGTTTTGTAATTACTTTTTTATGACGACATATGTCAAGATCAAGTTTATTGGAGATAAAAATTCTGATCATATATTTATTCGATTACATTACTCAACACTACTACCTTCACAGCGTTTTTTAAAAGATGTTCATCTATTACGAATATTTAATAATAACAAGTAGTGATTAATTATTTATTTTAAATATCCGTTTAGTATATTTTTAATACTTAAGGTATTGTATATACATATTTTGTACAGACAATACAAACAACATATATATGTTGTCATGATCATGGTCATGACTTCAATTATTTATATGTCACCAAAAGATCTTTATGTGTTTCACGCTGTTAAGATTTTGACGCACAATGTCAACAAAAATAGCTTACAAAGTAAATGTATACACATGTATAATACTAACCCAAGGATAGCTGCAGAGATCAAAGCACTTAAGACAATAACATTTGACGGATGATTGAGCAGAAGCCCAGTATACGTCATACCAACAAACAAGGTGAAATTTATGTCAATATTATAATAAAAGGAACAAATAAAATTAGTACACGTTA